TTTGTCGCGATGAGCTGCGTGCTTGAGCCAAGAATTGGCATGGTGCGCAAAAGCTTAGCTTTAGGTGATGTATTTCAACAAGATCCTTTCTGAGAATGCAGAATTCAAACACTATTTCATGACTAGGTGCACAAACCCGGCAAAATCACATGCAAAAAAGGCATCTTGATTGTTCTTGGTATGTTTTAGGTCGCTAAATACTATTAGCTGTGTATGTGGATTTTGCAGGTCTTCAGGGGTCAAATGAATTTCGCAGGTGGGTATGCTCAGTAGCACCTGTGCATCAATGCTGATCAACATTGCCCGAGCCTGACTAGATTCAAATTTTTCAGAAGCACTGACACCCCGGAGGAAACCTCAAGCTGGAATGTTTCTCAAAATATTGCGCGCCTTGTGTTTTTTCTGGTTGTGCGGGACGGTGTAGTGTGAATGATAAGGTCAATTAAGTTTGAGGGTATCACACTGAGGCCCGTCGATGACAAAATTTTAGGGGCTTCCCCCAAATGTGAGCGTTACACTCCCGAAAACTGACATGGGCCCTGAGAATGGCACCTTGAAAGACTGTCTTGCTCTACAAACGAATGGATTTCAGATGTTTTCAGAGTCCATGCTAGTTTTCAGCGGGTAATCGCTTCCCACGTGTTGACGCATGCTGACACATCGCAAACCTTGTGTTGACGACATGAGACGACATGGCTGTCACACTTCTGGCCGAGTTTCACTCGACCACGGCTCCGGGAAGGTGAGCCTGAGCGGAGTGGGACACACACTGACAGGAATGGGGTTGAAGCTGAGACTGACAAATCCTCACCATGGAAGGGCGACAAGGCTCAGCCCTTTCTGCGCATTGACCGGGTGGTTTTGCATCACTGTGAGACGCAGGGAGATACTCAGCATGTAACATGGGCTTACATAGGGCGAATGTGCAAGTATAGTCACTCATATAACACAATTAGGTATCCCTCCTCTGCTTTGCAGCCAACATCCTCATCACAGCAAAAACTACAGTAAATTTGTCAACGTACGCTGTCGAGCCGAGAAACTCTGGAAACCTCGAGGTGGCCTCCTTCGCCTCCCAGGATTCGCAAGGCCCGAAGTCCTGCTTCAATTTTCAATCATCCAGCCAACAAGCTTCCCATTCGGAAGAACACATGCAATAAAACACTAGCCCAATGACGTCTTTGGACATATTCAACCAACTCACGATGGTACAACCAAACAAACCTAAGGTACTGTGACCAAAACCTCCGGGTGATTTGCAGGGATATGTGGATAACGGCGTGCCTTTTCTTCAATCCGACGTTGCATGCGCAGCAATGAGCAATGGCAAGGAATCCAAACACATTTTTTGGTGTCTGCAACCGCATCCATGTCAGTCCTGGGCAAGGAGGACTGCCCTGCGAAAGACTTCCGCCAGCTGGCCTACAGAGGCAACCGGAGCAAAAACACGTTGCAAAAGAGTTTCTGACGTGGGAAACGCACCGTGCACGTCATACTGCAAATTATGAACGATAAAAGTCCTCTGCCCCTTTCCTGGAAAACTATGGAAAACTTTCACCGCTGTTCACAACAAAGAAACTAGCGCCAACCCTGTGAAACTGGCCAACGGAGATAGGAAACATATAGCGCAACCAAAGATTTGGAAAGGCGATGTCGCTGCGTCGCGCGGTTTTGCGTGGAAAGCGCATTTGCGTGGCTCTGTGCAACTGGGGAAGGGTGTAGATGCATGTGTAAATGGCATGATTGGTGGTGTCTCTCGTGGGTGGGCACCTAATAAAAGCAACTCTAAATTGAGCTATGACTGTACTGTAATTTTATAGCAGTTTTATAAAAGGGCGGTAATTTAAACGAAAAAATAGACAATATTCAGTTTGGTATGTTTTCAAAAGGTGCTGGAGAATACAGTATCTGGCCAGCGACACACCGTGTGGTGAAGTTACAGCCGTGATGTCGCTGCGCCATGCCAGTGGAAAGTATTTTGCTTGGCTCTGTGCCATTGGGGAAAGGGAAGCGCATGAGTGCGTAATGATGGGCTGTGTCCACGAGGCTTTGTGTTACATTGTTGTGTTTAGTCAAGCGGCGCACCGTGTGGCGAAATTGTCACTCTGCCACGCAGCTTTTCGCGGCCTCGGCAGAAAGTGTGTTTGCCTGGCTCCGTTCCGTTGGGAAATGAAACGCATGCGCGTGTTAACGTGGCGTGTCGCTTAGGAGCGTCATGATTGGCGGTGTCAACGAGGCTGGTGTTACATTGTATGTATCTAATCAGTGGTGCGCCGTAGTATGGCAAAATTAGGTCGACGACGACGCCGTCCCATGCGATTTTGCGTGGCCTGTGTGGCAAGTGCGTCTGCGTAGCTCTGCGGGGAACGGGAAACATTACAAGAGTGCCCCACAAGAATGCCTTACAAGAGAGTCCCAAAAGAGCGCCCTACAGTGTCCGGAAAGAGCGTCCTCACAACTGCTTGCCGCTGTTGCCCTGGCGGCCCATTTGGTCTTTCAAGTTTTTCGTTTTGCTGGTGGTATGAGCTGAAAAAATTGTCTGTGGACTGGGGGCTGAGCGTGGCTGATTATAATTGACCACGCTCTGACCCAGTCACATGGAAGGTATGATGGCCGGACTAGACCTGTACCCGCCGATCGCTTTTGCCGAAGCATGTTGAACCCGAGCAATTCTATTTTGGGAGTGGGGGCTGAACGCGATTGAATAGCTTATGAGTTGTTTACATGGAAGTGGAGAATGGGCCTTGGGAATAGATTGGTGTCCACATCCATGTTCGTGAGTCTAGGTGTGTGTGGAGTTACAAAAACTTCAAATTCAGAAGGATGGAACGACAGAATTGAATCTGGAGCATGATTTGATTGAGTTTGGGCAAGGACGTGTAGTTTGAACTTAAAAGGTTTTAATACCTCCATGTCTGCGTCGCAAAACTTTGATATAGGCGTGTTCTTGCTGCAGGATGGGCCAAGCTGGGCCCCATGACACCCCAGTTAAGCCCCGGGCGTCAATTTAATGGCGGAGCCTGGCTAGGCCTTTGACCTGTTAAGCGCTCCGCAGTTAGATCAACTTTCACTATCAGGCAGCTCGGCGCAGCATTTTGAACTCAATCAGGAACGCTTGCGCTTTTTGGACGTTCCTGGTGGCAAACACGTCGGGGGAACACTTCAAAAAATGACTTCGCACACATGCTTCGGCCAAGCAGTCGGCGGGTGTTTGACACAGGTCATCACTCACAAAATGAAAACGTGAAAACCCAAAGGGCAACCAGGGCAGCCACTCTAAAGCAGCAAGACTGTCCTACAAGTGTCCAGCAAGAGTGTCTTACAAAGCGTGTCGCCCAAGAGCGTCCTACAAGTGTGTCTTACAACATTATCCCGCAAGGGTGCCTGCAAGATCGCTGTAAGAGTGTCCCTGTAAGAGTGCTGTGCTGCAACAGCGCAGAACTCATTCCCTTGACTTGCAAACCCCTTGACTCGAACGATCCGATTAAGGCGAACGCCCTGGCGTCCGTGGGTCGCCGCCGTCTGCTGGTGTGATTTGCGTGGCAGGCGCAGCACTTCGTGCTCTCCAAGGGGTCGGACGTACGCCCCGGCGTCCGTGGTCGCCGCCCCTCGGCCTGTGTGATTTGCGTGGCAGGCGCAGCACTTGGCGAGGGTTGCCACCCACCAATTGTCACCAACCAATTGCTACCAACCAACTGTCAATTGTCACCAACCAATTGTCACCAACCAATTGTCATCAACCAATTGTCACCAACCAATTGCCACCAACCAATTGTGGCCAAGCAATTGCCACCAACCATTTGCCACCCACCAATTGCCACCCACCAATTGTCACCAACCAATTGTCACCAACCAGTTGCTATTATACCCACCAAGTGTCACCAACCAGCTGCCACCAACCAATTGCACCAACCAATTGCCACCCACCAAGTCTCACCAACCATTTGTCATCAACCATATGTCATCAACCAACCAATTGTCACCAACCAATTGTCATCAACCATTTGTCATCAAACAGTTGCCACCCACCAATTGTCACCAACCAATTGTCACCAACCAAATATCAACAACCAATTGCTACCAACCAATTGTCACTAACCAATTGCCACCAACCAAATTGCCACCAACCAATTGTCACCAACCATTTGCCACCAACCAACTGCCACCAACCAATTGCCACCCACCAACTAACCACCAATTGTCCGCTCCTGTGTCTGGTGAAGTTGCTAACATGTGGGGTTATCCGGTCCTATAAATTTCCGATTCTTCTCGTGCGTGGCTGGAAATGCAGATTTCCTGGGAGCAGCGTTGTGTGAACCTTGGAGTGCACTTTGGGAAGCGCGGAGGTCTTAACATCTAGGTCTTCTGTCAGATGGTAAAAGTCTGATAGCCCTTAGTGTCCAACCTTGGGCGGGTCACAGAAGATGTACAACGTTGGAACGCCCCGCCTTCCTTTTTAACTTTAAGATACTTTAAGTTTACCTTGGCCGCGCTTTGTAAACTTCCCTGATCTAAGCATTCAAGATCCATTCAAGTCTTTTGTGATGGCCAAAGCCTGGTGGCCCTTAGCATGGGTTGCGGTTGTCTGATGCGTAAAAGCTGGTAGGGTATCTGTGTTCAGTTGTTGCTTACTCCGCTGGTGGCAGGCTGAGCACTCTGCGAATTTCAAGCCAAATAAATATGTTGGGCGAAGGGTTTTGTAATCGCAGCACTTTGGTAGAGCAAAAAACACCTTCGGCCCTGCTGTGAACAAACAAGAGACAGGTGCATCGCCAGTGGCGCAGAACACCAAGACCAAGAGTAGGTAAAGCGTACAGAAAAGCGAGCAAAAATTCACGACGACTGCCTGACTCAAGCAAAAAGCAACTAATCAAAAGCGACAACAACAAAGATCCTAGAAACAACGTTACGAAAGAGACTCACTACGCTACAAAAAGACGAGAAGAAGGGAACAAACGGCCAACCAAGAGAAACAGCACGCAGGACAAAAAGCAGCGAAAGCCAGGAAAGAAAGAGGGTTCACAAAGAAGCAATGAAAAGTAAAGTGAGAAGCAGGAAAAAGCAAGACAATCGCGGAAAAACGAGAAAGCGTTGGAAAAAACGCAAAGAACATCCAAAATTCAAGATGCATCCTTTTTAAAGGGGGTAGGCCACTAGCAGGCTTATAAGTAGAGTGAGCCACCAACCGATTGCCACCAACAAGCTGTCACCAACCAATTGTCACCAACCAATTGCCACCCACCAAGCCTCACCAACCAAATTGCGATCAACCCTATGTCATCAACCAATTGCCACCCACCAATTGTCACCCACCAATTGCCACCCACCAAATTGCTACCAACCAATTGCTACCAACTAATTGTCACCAACTAATTGTCACCAAACAACTGCCACCAACCAATTGTCACCAACCAATTGTCATCAACCAATTGCCACCCACCAATTGTCACCAACTAATTGCCACCAACTAACTGTCACCAAGCAATTGCCACCAGCCAATTGCCACCCACCAATTGCCACCAACCAATTGTCACCGACAGAGTGCCACCAACCGATTGCACCAACCAATTGGCACCCACCAACTAACCACCAATTGTCCGCTCCTGTGTCTGGTGAAGTTGTTAACATGTGGGGTTATCCGGTCCTATGAATTTCCGATTTTTCTCGTGTGTAGCTGGAAGCGCAGATTTCCTGGGTTGTGTGAACCTCGGAGTGCACTTTGGGAAGCGCGGAGATCCTGTCAGATGGTTACAGTCTGATAGCCCTTAGTGTCCAGCCTTGGGCGGGTCACAGAAGATGTACAACGTTGGAACGGCCCGCCTTCCTTTTTTAACTTTAAGATACTTTTAAGTTTATCTTGGCAGCGCTTTGTAAACTTCCCTGGTCTAAGCGTTCACGATGCATTCAAGTCTTTTGTGAGATGGCCAAAGCCTGGTGGCCCTTAGCATGGGTTGCGGTTGTCTGATGCGTAAAAGCTGGTGAAAGATTCTAAAAGGGTATCTGTGTTCAGTTGTTGCTTGCTTGTCTTCTCCGCTGGTGGCAGGCTCAGCACTCTGCGAATTTCAAGCTAAATAAATATGTTGGGCGAAGGGTTTTGTAATCGCAGCACTTTGGTAGAGCAAAAAACACCTTCGGCCCCGCGATGAACAAACATGAGACAGGTGCATCAACAGTGGCGCAGAACACCAAGACCAAGAGTAGGTAAAGCATACAGAAAAGCGAGCAAAAATTCACGACGACTGCCTCACTCAAGTGCTGAAAAGCAACTATGGCAAGCAAAAGCGACAGCAACAAAGATCCTAGAAAAAACGTTGCGAAAGAGACTCACTAGGCTACAAAAAAAGGAGAAGAGGGGAACAAACGGCCAACCAAGAGAAACAGCACGCAGGACAAAAAGCAGCGAAAGCCAGGAAAGAAAGAGG